CGTTCTGTCAGAAGATACATAAGGAGAAATATATGAATGATGTCGATGGTTAGCATCTGATAAGGTAACACCTATCGAGAGTTCGTAAGACTTTAGATGTTTATCTACAATCATATCAATAATGACATCAAAAGATTCACTGAACATTCTGTCGATTGTCGTCATCACTCTCCGAAATACTGTAAAATATTTTCTCAGAAACCCCAGGAAGAACAATGGAAAATAATGAAGAATTATAGGTAATATGCAAGAACAGAAAAATTACGAGAGTAAATATCAAATAATCCCAAAAGCATGTAGTGTCTTTATAAAGTAGGTCAGACCGTACACTTTCTTCGAACACAATCGAAAACGAGAAGACAAAGAGAGATCAGAGTAAAAGCTTACACCAATACAACTGACCTTCAGTGCTGTGTTCATTAAAGAATCTTCAGCGATACAACCATTATGGGATTTCGACAGGGTGTTTATGTGCTCTTCGTGTTTCAGGCTAAAGTTAGCGGCTCGATATTTAGACAGGTTACTCGAACGACCATTAACAACAGACCACCATTCAATACGGAACAAGAACTCGTTCATTTCAAGGGGATATAAAGAAGTAGAAATCGGTATATATATACAGTGAGATGGTTCGCATATTTAACAGTGTTTTCTGTGGAAGATGGCAGATCACTTGTAAAATGTAGAGAAAAGAAGAGGGGAAAGAACAGATCTTTGTGGCATAATTTCATGAGACAGTAGGGATGTCGAAAGCTTTCCTCCAAACAGTGTTTTGTTCTCTTCCAGAAAGATAAAAAACATAGTCATTTAATTATCCAGCTGTGAGTGTTGACGCTGACTAACTTGTTTAGTAGACTTTGTCTTGGGATAGAATAAAAAGCAGAAGTGTAGTCCAGAAAAGGGCATTGAACACAGTTCCTACTCTTTTTTTAAGCTGAACACTATATTGTGATGCAGAACAACAAAAGCATATAAGGTGTTTCTTTTGCATTTGAAAGCAAACTCATATGAATCAATGGGCTCTTGAAGTGCAGGTATCAATAATCTTTCCATTGTTTTGAAAAAAGGTGAAGTTGTGGGGAGTTGTGTAACGTCGTGTACTATATTACACCTACATAGCTTATTCTAGTTTCTGGACAAGCCAATTCACCTATAACGTTATGAGTCATATTTTGATCTTGTTAATTATTCCCTTATTGACCTTGACTATTTTTTTATATGAGCGTATGTGTATGCACACTTCTTATCCTACCTATCACATGTCTGTCATTCATTTTAGTCTGACTATAAATGTTGATTAAAGCTTGCTTATAACGAGTTGGCTTACCAGCCATCTCCCATTTATGTTACTTTTTCTTCGCTCGCTAACATTTACTCATGTGCTTACTGCCTTCTAGTCTATGTTATTTGTCAATAAAAATGTAGTTGCCACTTCCCTTTGTCTCCTGATATTATACACCGTTTAGATTGATATAATGACGGTTATCGAGACGATCGATTAACGAAGCACTACACTACAAAGTTACTGCAATTGGTTTAAATTTCACATCTTTACCGTCGGATACTTTCCAAGGTATAAGAGTATAATGTCTAAGTTGGACAGTTCCACAGGAGGTTGAAACGTCATATTCTGTGAATGTCGAGCCACTCTGTTATATGCAACTGAAATGGTCAGAATAGATAGCTGGCAAGGTAAATAAGTCAGTGCGTTTTCAAACCTGCCCGCCGTTTCCTTTTTGCGACCTTGAACGGCCTGACACGAGGCGGTCATTCCGTATTTGATTTGTTGTGGGTCGGTTGGTTGTCCTCTGGGTTGCACGAATATCAGGTTTTCTTGTATTTGCGTCTTTTTTTGGCTGTAGCAAATTCACAAAATCAATTCCAAAAGCGTTCATTGTGCTTACTGTGTTTTGTAGTGTACAATTTGGCTCTTTTGTTGCTACGTAACTTGACCTGGGATACCAATTGCCCTACTGAACCTCACTCTCCTTGTTTAAAATTCGTTGGGGTCCGCAAAACTGCGTATTCATTATAAATTATCAGTTAAAGATACTACGAATTTGTGTGAATCCTTGTTTTCTGCAAGAATTAAGACGACATGACGAGTAACCCGTAATTCCTAAATGCTTGTAGTCCTTTCTTCAGTTACTGGAGTATTATCGCATGAAATGGCTGTTTTTTCAGTAATTAACGAGTAATGTTTGTGGTAATTTATGTTCCAGAAACATTTCGGTCGACTTAAGTGAGGCGTTTCAACGCATAATACTGAGAAGGCGTTTTGGAAACTGGATTGAATTCTATGGTGTGTTTAAGGAGTTCCAAAAAGTATGGATGCATAATTCCATCCCTTTTTCAGACCACCCGTACACATAACATTCACGGCGAAAGTAAACTGCTAAAGGACGTGCGATTTAAATACAGTTTTGTGGTGTTATGAACTAGATGCAGGCACTTGCGAGTGTAATTGTCGAACATTTATGGCTTGTCGATATCCCTGACGTCATATAATACTGACATATGTAAAAAGACCAACTCTTACAGGTAAGCTTAATCAACTACGAAATAAACTAATTAGCTCATCACATACTTAGACCATGCAGCCGATGGAAGTTAAATAGCACGCATAACTTCCATTATAATACAACATCATTACCCAGACGGAGTGAAGAGTATATACGAATCCAAAGAAGCCAGAAAGTTTATAAACAACAGATAGTTGAAAAATATGGTGAACACTTCGCCATGGTGGTGGAGAAAAAAGTAGACAATTATCACTTAAAATTCAATAATTAGGTAAGACTGCCATTTCTCAAACATTTCTCTTTCTGCAGTCCTATTTACGATCAGTATATTCGGATGAATAATTGGAGTGGCATTGTTTCCTAATCACATGGTCTCCGGAATCAAGCATATAATAGCTAAAAGGATGTAACACTTGGAGAAGGTCGGAAGTGGTGAACGTGGAGATATTCATTCAATCGAATGGCATGAGTCAGTGTTGCAGACGCGCTCATTATGTTTAACTTATTTATATTCACATTAAATACATTATTCTATCCCAGGCATAAATGTGTTCTTCAGAAGTACTAAGTATTGTTATTTGTCGCGATACGATGGGTCAGTGTAGATAGTGATGCGATTTTCACTTAAGATCTTACAGACTAGGCAATCAAACGATAAATTTACCGTTATCGGACAACGTCTATTATGAAAGTAGTATTAGTACCTAACTAGACTGTACACATACTGAAAAGATTTAAAGTGCGAAAAACTACAGTTGTTGTATTTATATTATATTTAGATAACGTATTAGATGAATAAACGCGGTAGTGGTCAATACAAAACACAGTTATTGTCAATGTGTGAATTGTTTCTCCGTATAAACTTCCATATTAAGAAATTCGCCAAGTTGTTTACCTGCATAGACTTGATTATTACAAAGATTTGAGCCTTTCAATTAGTTGACAGAAGTCATTAGTTGTATAACAAAATGTATGGATAGCTTGCTCAATGCAATTCTGAAAAACAAAATATCAATCTTGAAAGAAAAGATTAAACCTCGTTATCATTATCAAATTCCATAAGTAAATGAAATAGCAATTGATAGGATGTACCTGTAAGTGTTTTACTTGCTGTAAACAGTGTTTTTCACTTTCTAACCTTCCTACAATTTCATCTAGTTATTCGGTATTAACAAACAAACTTCAGGCACCAAACGAAAGGACTCACAAACATTAATTAGTTATATGAAATTTGAGAAAAATCCAATTACACCGTTCATAATACTGTTCACATACAATAATGAAATAACTGGTAACCACTATTTAGCGATTACCCGTCAACATGCATTAACACTTTGTTTATGATTTAGTAAGTGATTTCGGATTCTGTTAGCAGAAATTTATATTTTAACCCTATACGAGACATCGTAAAATAGTATTATCTACAATATGTTTTAGTTACCATGCTCATAGCAAACACGCATCGCTTTACTTAAGAAGAGTATTTGGCTAATTTATGTGGCACTTACAGTAATGTTCTACACAATTTCTGTATAAATTCAGAGAGCGGACAGAAAAATCTATCAACGCCAATTGTTACTAACATATATTTTTTCTCACATTACGTAATAACATATCAGTCCAGTTAACAACGATGATACTTATCATGGATTAAACTGTTTACGGCCGTATATTAATAGTTCATATCGTAATGTAGCACGTTATATATTGACGTCCACTTTGAAGCAGGAGCGATCTGAAACAACAACACTACAGTGAGGACCGGTAAGTGCCGTCAAAGTAAGAACACAATGTACTGGTACAATATATATATTTTTAAAATTGAAAGACACGGTTGAGTGCAAAAGGGGAAACTTTCTACAGAATAGTTTTATTCATTGTTCTGCTCGTTCAGATCGCGTAGGGCTTCTTCCTCTATTTCCAGTGCGTTTACTCTTTGTTGCCCTGCTATAGAAAAACAAACTTCCATTAGGAATGTCGCATGGAATGATTATTATTACCATTACAAGATTCATGAATAGTTTGACTCTCAATTACAATTTATAAACAACTACTAACACCCACGTTCATCCCCATACAACCAATAAAGGGGAAATAAAGCGAAATTTCCCCTTTCTGTCGCTCTGTTTTTCAAATGTCGCTAAATTGCCGACTTTTACCTTAAATATTCGACGAATTTCCGATTTGCACCCTAAATATCCGACGAATTGTCTACTTTTCTACTACATGCACACCGATGTAATTAAGCGCCCACTTCTAAAACGCTTCTGTATTTACCCCAACCGCCTCCTGTGTTCACCTTCATTCCCACAACACAGCACACGAACAATGTAATGTACGTAATATATGGTATAAGTTCCAAATTTTTATTGAAAACAAAAAGCTTATTATTGTACAACGTCATGAGCACTTGGCAGATGGTAGAGCATCAATGTTCCTGATGTAATTGCAATTGTCACGGACCAGATATTTCACGTATTGTTTCTTTCCATCAGGCCTTTTGAACTATGGAGACTCAAATAATTCTTGTGAATTCTAAAATGTAATGAAGAAGAACGTTACTATATCTAGGAAACTTGTTTTGCAAAACAAGGTACTTGAAGCTGAACTTACGGTTATATCCTTAAACACGGAAGACTCTACCTATAGATAACGGGAAAACAATAATCACTTTAAAGTCGTACGTACGTGTTCTTTCTTCCGTCGATGATGCTTCTGTACTTTGTCTCTCATGTCGTGAAAATAACTTTGTGCAGCCATGTCATATAGTTTCGCAAGGTCTTTCTCAGTGACAGATGACGACAGGGATCGATTAGTAAGTGCACCTGAAGTTTAAAAACCTTATTTATCTTACTTCGTACGCAGCCATAAAACCGGGACTTCTGAATCGCTCGTTTTGATGAAGTACCAAGTAACGTGAAATTAATGGCGACTTCAGGTTCCATGATGTAGGACAGAAGATATCGCATGGAGGTTTTAGGATCATCATTCATTAAACGCGTCAACATGGCCATCTGTAATAGGAATGAAGGATAAAAATCATGTTGTGTGCTTACAAATCTGTCCCTCACGTGCAGGCGAAAAAGCGACATTTCCCCTTTATTTACGCTTTCGTCCGCTTTATTCCCCCTTTTTTCGCTTTTATTTCCACTTTATTGGTTGTTTGGGTCACTACCATAATAAGGGAGGTAAGTCATATGTAAATTATTCTACAGCTTGTTTTTGCTTGAAACTGTAATTTTGGTGTATTTTTGACTTGATAAACGATGAATTTCGCTTTCCTGAGTTTGCATTGTTACAAATTACCAAGTTAGGCTGACTAAACATTCATCCAGGTTGTCAGCTCCAAATACGTCAGGCAACCAATAGACTGCAATAAACGCCATGTAAAACGCATAAATATTACAAAAATTAACATGTGACGGGAAAGTACTGTGATTAGCCGACAAAAAACGACGTTAGAAATCCGCGACAACATGTAACACATAAGCGAGAATCAATGACATGACTTTTCGACCATGCCTAGATAGCTTGCTCTAATGTTATTTATTTTGAGGACTTTAATACCAATGCAGCAAAAAAAGGAATCGTGTAAGAGTTAAGTGAAAAAATGCTAGAATATCATTGTTAACGATTTTTCCGTTTTAGTCACTTATAAGCCATAGAATTTTCTTAAGTATTGGATAGTTATAGTAAACTTGATTAATATCTTCCGAAGGACGTACAGTCGATCATAGTACTAATGGAAATGAATAACTGACCTTTCATCTTTACAGTTTCAAAAACCATTACCACAGGGCTTTGTAACATTCAGCAAATGAGAGCTGGGTTCTGTAAATCTAAAGTACCTCCCAAAATAGTGTCTGTACGCTATTTCTAGTAATAAAAGTTCGAATTATAAAATAAAGCTACCCCTTACTTCAACCTTCTTTTCTACTTTTAAATGTGAAAAAAGATCTATCACATTGCCATACTTTATTTGTTATTATTTATTTTGTATACTAGAACATTGTTTGTTTGTATGTTTGAATGAGTTGCACGTTCAAGGCTTTCTACGAGTTTAAATATTTTTTGCATTTACACTCGTTGGATCTTCTTTGTGTACATTCTCTCGTATCATGTCGGAAGGCTATATTTTGGCTGCTCTTGAATTCCTAATACAATATGGTGGAACACAAAGTGTCAAAGACTTGTGGGTGCTAATGTGTAATAAATTTCATCAAGTTTCTGATTTTAAACATGGTGTTGGAAAAAGTTATCATAGTTTTGAAAAATTCTTGTCATCCAACCCAACAATCTTCAGTGTTGTTGATAACTTTGTTCGTCTCACTGATATTAGCAATCCATTGGAGAATGAAAAGGACTACCCACATCAGTATAATAGTCGTTGTAACAACAGCTCTTTTAAAAATCCAAGAAATATCCGAAGTAAATACACCATAGAGTCAGAGGCTTCAGCCGTTCGATATTTTCAAGAACAGTTGCTGAGGAAACCAGAGCGATGGGTCCCGATAAGAAACTTGGCTGGACATTTGTCACAGGCATCTCCTCATATCAGACTAAGTGTGGGACCACAGTCCGAATTCCTTGATTTTTTGACGCGGCACTCACTCATCTTTGAAATTCAAGGTGATCTTGTTGGATTAAGGAACAGAACCAAAACAGTTCCCTGTACACCTCAACAATCTATTAATAAAAAGAAAGGAGTACGGCCACTGTCCTCACATTTTCCTGATGACCTACACCGTATATCTGTCCCCTGTTTCCGGATAGACAATAATTACTTAAATCTTCATAGAACCGGCCAAGAGGAGTCGACACCTAAATCGCAAAGTGAAGATGATATTATTGTGTGTTTAGACGACTGTAAAGCTATATTTTGGCTAATGTACGTCATAAAACATAACTTAAAAGATGAAATTATGATTTCGAGATTACTTGCAGAGCTTTCAAATGCCCCTGATTCGGTGAGGAATTGTATTGGTTGGACTCAGATTGAGCTTTCGGAGTTTCTTAAAAAATATACCAGGATATTCACTGTTGATGAGGTTGCTGGTGTCGTTGAAGTAAACTACACGAACAAACTTAATCTTTTTGTTGCCTCAAGGCATATAAACGATTCTTCTTGTGGCCTAATAGTTTCCCAAAAGGGTTGCATTTTTTGTGTAAACAGGCTATGGGGAATAATAGATCTAGGATTTCACGAACATGTATTCTTCGACAGATCGCTATTTAAGAATGTTACAGACCTTACTAAACATTTCAAGGTAAGTATTTGAGCGTAATATTCGTCCTCATATGTTAAATTGTCTTTATTATGTGTAAGTTAATTAAGTAAATGGATTAATTTAAAACTGTAATGAGCCGAAGTACAATCTGATATTGAATAAGATTTAAGAATGTAGCAAAAGCTGAATGGGTACATCTTGATGATTTCTATTATGAGCATCGTCTGGCCAGAGCTTTTAATATCTTACAAATAGTTTTTGAAAGCACACCTATCTTGTTGGGTAGTATGTGACAAATAAGTAACCAAACGGTTTATGTTAAATCTAGGATGTTTCGTTAGGTTTTTATAAGTTCTCATATATTTAAACTGAGGAAATCATAAGTTAGAAAATTTCCTAATCACTTTATTTTACTGTTGTCATTTTTGCAGCGCTATTTTAGGGAAGTATTTTGATGTTCCTTCTAATTTATTTGCCAGAGCGCTTTTAATTATATGATTTTGAAAGCAATGATTTTATGCTATTTTGGTCAGTTTTATTACAATGACTAAAAGTAAAGATTAAGTTGCCTTTCCCCACCATAGAATTATGAGAGTGCCTGCGTAGATTAAGTTCATGTCTACGAAGCATTGTTTGTTTGGTGGACATATCAAGTAATCCAAAATGGCTTTGCGTAATGCTACTTAGATACAAAAGTTTCTTGAACGTAATTCTATACCCTCAAAGAGTAAAGTCGTCGATGTATATATGTTCTTATCAAATGTGCAAAACTTACACTAGAGTTAGAGTGAGTGAGAAAATGGTGGGAAATGGAAGAAGTAGTACATGGACCCAAAGTTAAGTAAGTCTTAGGTACAAACTTTGGACAAGAATAGTTTTATTCCCCTACTATTGCAAAGAATAATTTAAAAATCCACATGTGGTTCTCAAATCAAATCCGAAAGCGCTAGCTCCGTTTCTGAGCTTAACACTATGCATGTGTATAGATTTGGTGACCATAGAAACTCGATGCATCTGCAAAAATCTGAAAGATAATGCATTCTGATTATTTATGCTTGCTGACTGAGTTCATTTAAATAAACACAACTCCATTTCAGAACACTGGCTGGTGAATATTAATGTTTGATCTCACTGAGTATTAAGAGATCCAGTATATGGTCTGCAGTGTCGCCACAAAAAACAGAGATAAAACGTCTTAAAGAATCTATCCCTTATCGCTTTTTTCAAGTAGGAAAGATGAAGTTTTTGATAAATAGTGAATAAAAAGAGCAATAGAAAGTGGGTTTGTGCTAAACAGGATAAACCCAAGTACTTATAAAAGTATCAGTAACATTATCATTCCCTGTTTCCATGTCCCCCAAGTATTTCACGTTGTGAAACGGAAAGATAAATGCGAACAAGAAACTCAGAAATAACTTTTTTTAGCCTGTTGGTAGTTTATTATTGTTCCATAGTATTGATTATGTACTTTCTGAATTATATTTTTGGTATTAAAAATATATGTTTCAAGGGGTCCGCTGTTTTTATGGTTCACGTTGCATAACCTTTTCGCTCATCTATCAAATTGTGTAATTCAAACTGTCAATTATCTGAGGAAATAATTTTACTGACGCCAAATTAATATGCATTCAAAATTAAAAGTTCAGTTTCAGTTTCAAAAGTTGGTGATTTTGATCTCACCACCCTCCGGTCGAACTAACTGGAGTTGTTATCTTAAGAAGTAAATACATAGTTAGACCAAATCGCAGTGATAATTAAACTTGAGAACTGTCTATTTGTTTATAATAAATTTATTTTCTTTTTAAATTAACCACAAGTCAGTGTAAATCTCTGTGCCAAAGTTTCTTATAATTTCTATTACTATGATTGTGCGAAAAAATCACAACTAAGTGTTTTGTAACACACCTCTAGTATCTTCCTAGTGAACAACTATTTACTTGACTTCTAGCATGTAATTCCTTAGTAATAACGGTAATTGTTAGTTACTTTTAAATTACATAAAGTAGCATAGAATACAGAATATTTATATGTTCTTAACAGCTTTTTCGTATATCGTTGCTCGTTGAAATATCAAACCATTGTTTTTGAACATCCGTAAGGATACAAAATTTTGATTAAAAAATAGTTTACACTATATTTTGCTGGTCTTAGAAGTATCATTGAATAAAATGAGGATGTCTTTCTGAACTCGTTCTTGTTTTTTTAGAGAGAACTGCTGTTCTTGAAACAATTCTTTCTCGTTCTTTGTTACACACCTTGTTTCAAGTGCATGTTGCATAAAAACTCTTATCTATTTTTATCAGCATCAGGGCTTCAAATTAGATTGTTTTTAATCTGTCGCCTTTTTTACGTCACTGCTTACGGTTTGTAGCGTTTTTACATTAGTTAATGGAAATAATATGAAGAATTTTATGTACTTCATGCTAATGGTTGTAATCTGCTCGAATGTTATAACTCCCATTTAATGACACTACTGATCTTGTGTGTTTCACTGATATTTCTGGCACATGATTATAATGACAATTTTCCACTGTTTAATGTTCAGCCTAGTTTGAAGACACTTGTTAAGATTGTTTAACCCACAATTAATACATTTTTCTCTACTCACTACTTAGATCCATTATGTTAATCGATCATAGTAAGTGGTCAAGCAGAACTAACTTCTTGTCAATGCCTAATACTTTATCATAGGTTTAGTTGTTATCACATGAGTCAGTTATTTATAATACAGATCCATAATTATCATGCCGTAACACTTTTCTGATAAGTTATTTTACATTTCATCAGAAAATGAATACCATTGTGCAGTACACTGATATTAGTCAGGCATTCAGCCATACACCATTCAATGCTTATTTGTCCGAAGAAGTTAGGGTTATGAGAGAGTTATTTATCACCTCTAGTTGTCACACTTCGAAAAAAATACAACAAGCGTCTAATTGGATAAATCTTAGATTTGTAACTGGTAGCCTTGTTTTGTAACATACACAAAAGATAATTTTGTAGACGGGCCTATTTTTCATCATGCATAAGAGCGTTTATGAAGAAGTAAAAGTATTAGTATTCAAAAAAACCAGCTTATCATCTAAAGCGTATCAAAGGATCAGATAAGCAGACATTTAAACCTGATTTTCCAGATGACTGTGACCGGTGTGTCTTCTTAATTTTTTCCTCTGTTAATCTCGAAATGTTTTATCATCAAAACCTAGGTTTCATGATAGACGTAAACCTGCGGATCAACTGAAAACTGATGTTCAGTTTGAGAACCTACTTACCTGAATACAGGACTTCATGCCCTCAACAAAGTTCGAACACGAAGGATTCAAGACTACACTGGTTGGTCAATGTGATCAATTTAAAAACAACAAGTGTCACAAAGATATTTACTGATGAACATTGAGAAGCTATCCGGAAACTAAAATCGAAAAAACACATTTTTATCATTAAATCAGACAGGACTTTTAATTCTAAACATGACTGATTGCGTAGATAAGATGAATACTCTAATGAGCGACCAAAATAAATTTCGAAAACTTGGGTCATGTAAAGGCCTCAATGAAAAGAACGAACTTCGATGAGCTACGGCAATAAAACTTTTGAAACAGCATCAATACAACTCTGAGTATACCTATAATGGGCTCAAGCCATCTGGAACACATACCCCTTGACTCTACGGTCTACCAAAGGTTCATAAACCAGAGATTCCTTTGCGTTCAATTCTATACATGTCAAACTCACTATACCATTCAACAGCAAAATGGTTGGTGAGATTATTAGAATCATTACACCAAGACTTGGTTAAGTACAGAGTGAAAGACATTTTAGTTTATAGATACAATAAAAAGTATGAATTTAAGAGGCAAAACCACATTATTACTAGGCATAACATTTTTGTTCACTAACATTCCTCCGACAGAAACCATCGGTTACACATGTTAACGACTGTTAGGAAAGGAAATAGAGATACTGATCTTAATAAATAAAATAAAGGAACTTCCTTTGAAATGCATTATGAATGTACACTTTATGTTCAACAATGGATTTTATGGACAAACAGAAGGAGTAGATATGGGATAACCTCTAGGCCCTATCCTAATATTTTTCTAGCCAAATTGGAGAATAGACCGTTGAAGGACATCCTAAATGAGCTAGATTATTACTGTAGATACATAGATGACACACTAATCGTGTGTGACGAACGTATCGACAAACAAAAGCTTTTGAACAGTTTCAATAACGTCCACCCAGCTATTAAATTCACCAGCAAAGAGGAGAACGATAATAGTACAGCTCTCTCTGATGTCTTTCTTTCTGGAAGGATAGATGGTTCCATAAAAACAAGTATCTTTAGAAAGAATAATTGGATGGGTCATTATACCAATTTTCATAGTTTTTCACCCTTTCAATACAAAATAAATTTGGTTAACTTTCTCTGCCATAAAATCCAACTATTATGTTTCGAAGAAAGTGTAGATACACAAAGTGATAAACTAAAATACACGTTACTAAACAATGGCCATCCAGATAACTTCGTCAGAAAATTTCTATCAGAAAGGAAAGAACAACAAACTCTGACACCGTCAGCAAGAAAACCCTCTGTCTAGAACTCGGTTTTGATGGGAAATAGTGGATGACATTTTAACACATCGACTCAAAAGAGGACATTCCATGCCACCATGTTACATGTAGTCTTCTCAACTAAACCTGTACTGACATAACAAATCGAGGAAAGGTTACTGATGGTGAGCTTCTCCATGTGTGTATACAAATGCAACTGCTCCTGTTGAGCTAGTTACATAGGCCCTATTCAGCGGTCTTTATCTTAGCGTGTTCGGGAACAGTAACAACGATGGTTAGGGAAAGGATTCACTAAATCTATTAGCAGCGCCATTCTTTCTCACTTGGTAGATAGTGAACATTATACTAAAATAAATTGATAATATATTTGTAATATCCCAATAGCAGCTCAAGCCATTTTCAAAGAATACCAAATCGATTTCAAAAAGTATGAAAATATTACAGAAATGTTTTTCCAATTACAAAGAAAGTATAGCAGCTGAAGTGTTCCACATTATGCTTAAGCCTTCTGCTCTCAATAGAAAAGAAGGTCTTGCCATACATCCTACTTGGACTATCTATCCTAACCACCTAGTATGATATTATTCGCAATTCACATTATCATCTTACAAATTAAACTCCATCCTTTATCACAAACTTTTCATCCTTAACAGTGCGCACACACACAAATTTACATACATCTCGCTTGTGAATCACCTTGACAGAAATGACATGACATTAATTTATTCAACCTGTTTTTCTGATTGATCACATAATATTCATGTTGTTCCGTTGCGCTATTTAAACTTGAATTAATTTTGATTTGGTTATTTATTCTCTGACGAAGTGGCTTTCACTGAGTCACGAAACATCAAAAATTACAATTTTTCTATTCCTTGGGATATTACAAATATATTAATTTATTTATAACAATCTACACAATGCTCAATTTATTCGAAATTATCAAGTCTAACCTTGGTAATGATACCTATTACACTAAAATAGATGAAGCTGTCTCTCCTTTGTATTAAGTTTCAAACAGTCTACCTAAAAGAGTAAAATTATGGATACTCTACATGGCTGAAGGCATTTGGATCAACTCTAGAAACCTAACTTATGTATCCAGAAAAGATATATATCCAGCCTCTATGTTTATCTCGGTCCACAATTGGATCGCCAGATACATAAACTGGTTATCATTAGCACCTTATACTCCTTCCAATTCCTATTGTGTTTATATCTTTTTTAATCTAGACATCCATTTTTCCAAATTCACATCAATTGTTTATCGTAATTTCCATGACAACACCTTTCTTAAAAAATATTGTATTCACACAACGTTATTGTTATTACTACTACAACCTCGATTAACACGACGAAATTCTCATACTATACATTTTATTCACACGATTCACTGCATTACTATAATATTGATCATAATTCAATACTTTACTATAAATCATTTGGACCTTTAATAAATGACCTTTCTAATTTACAAGTAACACAATTTTAAAAGATGCAAAAGTTCTCCATTTTTTTAACATATAACATTATGGGGACTTCAGGAGATTAGTATTTTAATAGTTGAATTCACGAGTCGATCTAAGATGGACCACCATTGGAAACCCGAAAGCATTGGACGGACGCTTCGTCCTAGTGTAGGACTCCTCAACCGTGCCCAGCTCCAAGAGAGATTTCCGGGAGTTATTGTGAGAAGCCATAAACAGTTGAGTCCGATCCGTGTCGGGTGTGAGATAGTTATCGAAATCGGACAACTAATGTAGTGTAGTGCAAGATCATGGATCAATTGAAATTAGACATTAACACCGTTGAATGCCGGTTCAGTGGTTTAGAAGGTAACTGCTCACGCGCGAGATTGAAGGTCCTGGGTTGGAGATCCAGGTGTGGGATCATGGATGTGCACTTCTGAGGAGTCCCATAATAGTATGAAATGGCCGTCCAGTGCCTCAAGTTTCCAAATGCTGGTCTAGCTTAGATCGACTCGTAAATTCAACATATAAAATATCACGATAATTATGGGCTTACAACTGCAGAGCCTGATGATGAATTTATTGAAAACAATTGTTCTGTCAAATATTCTTTGTTTTTAAAGTTACTTCCTTACGCCTGTTACTCCCAATGATGTATAGGCCGCCGACAAGCTTTCTCCAACTCACTCCGTCTTGGGCCTTCTTTTCTAGTTCTATCCATTTTTTGTTCATTCTTCTCATGTCTGTCTCTATTTCTCGACGTAATGTGTTCTTTGGTCTTCCTCTTCTCATTTGACCTTCAGGATTCCATGTGAGGGCTTGTCTTGAGACGCAATTGAGTGATTTCCTCAAATTGTGCCTAATCCACTTCAGGCGCTTCTTCCTGATTTCTTCTTCCGTTGGAATGGTTTTTAAAGTGTATTGTAAAAAATCCAATAATGTCTTATTTTGTGTTCCACTCCTGTATGACTGATTTTGTTCTAGCAAAGGTCGTTAACCATCTTGTCTAGCTCTTTATAGTGTAACTTCTTCGAAGTTCGATATCTTATCTTGTTCTATCTATCTACACTTCTCGATGAATCGTTTGTTATATCGTGTTGAACATTTCTTAACTTAATACAAATCCATGCTGTTGACTTTAATTTATAACCTCTTGTATGGTACCTGAAGGCACTATCTAGCTGTCGAAAATGAACTAGATAATTTGAAGGTTCAGGCGTTATAATCAGTAACTGAGTGTCATGACCTCAGATCCCTGAGTTTATAAAACAATGGTTTACACTTACCATATTACAAAGTACATCATAATCAAAATTTTATTGAAATATATGCCAAAATTTTGAGTATGTAAAACAATTGGATCAACATTCCCGTTGATAATATATTTAGATCCTATGTCTTAAAATATTCAGCATCAGCTTTCTCTATTCAGGGATATGTAATAGAAGTATAATAATTTCAATAAATAAATAACTTTTTGGTAAGATATCTTACTCTACAGGATTCATAATTTAAAAATGAGATACCATTTGATATTTAGCGAGAAGCGAGACTATGATTCAATGATTTTACATGTTCAGTCATGGATTCTAAGTACCAGTTAATACTAACTGCTTCTCGACTTTTTAATATATATATATATATATATATATATATATATATATATATATAATAAAACCCAACAGAATGTTGATTCTCCCAGTGTTACATTTTCGAATTAGTAGTTTCCAGCTTCATAATAATAAATAAATCGATATTGTTACTCAGAAACTAAATAATAACAACTGAACTCTCTCTCTCTGTTATTTGAAGTGAACACGCATGTTATTTAATATACTGCGTAAGCATTAAATAGTCATCAAAACGCAACAATACCTTAATGAACACCACAGTTGACTTTGCACCATTATGTTTCAACCATTTTTGAAATCTGTTATATCTTATGGCCTGTGTGCCACTGTTAATGTATAACGTAATAATACCACCAATTAAAGAGCAGTGAATTATCGATCGAACCAATGACACGTGAAACGCATACGAGCAGTCCAGAGTAATTATCGGTCCTGCTTCCCGCCTAGCCCATCCAGTTAAGTCCAGAACATCACTAACAGCCTCTACAATATTAATCATATATTTCAAACATACTGGATTTATATATTAAACAGACAGACCACATCGTACCAATAAATAGGAAACAACATTTGTACAAGATTTATCCAAATGTGGCTGAAAACAAGGGAGATAGTAATCAATAGACAGGGTTAAATTCAAGAATGGTAATTCGTACAACAATAGTTCATAGGTCAAAAGAAAAGCTCATAATTAGAGGGACATGAATATGAATAGTCTAGTTATTTAACAATTATACGATAAAACATACGTATAGTACTGGTTCATATATTGATCCCAAAAGTTACCATTCATTATACTTATTGTGACGTTACAAAACCTCTTCCATTTACTTCGGTTTAATACTATCAAAAAGATCCTTGTCACTGAAATTTAAACACACATATTCCTGCTTGTTCACTGAGTCGTATTAATGTCAATCAATATACACGAATGAAAAAAGTATTAGGGAATACAAAACTATTCTTTCTAAAGCTAGATTGTCTGTTCCAATCAGATGAGAATTATTAGGTATTTCTAAGCAAATATGGATAGTGGCTAGCAGTGAATTAATGTTATATCGAGGCAATACGCACAGCATGCACATATGCCAATAAGAGACTGATCAATTGCAGTCCTAAACATAAATGTGAAGATTCAATCAAACAATACTAAGTGAATATTAAATATTTCGGTTGAAATCTGCCTTAACAGTAGTTTATTAACAATAGTATGATTTAAAATGAATTACAGCTAGACATATGCATCTTATAAATAAAAAAATAAATAAATAAGACGTTTTATTTGAAAAAGGATTCTAGAACACGTGCCGATTAACAGGTATGATCAGATCTGATATAGATAGTGATGTTAATTACAAAAGGCAAAGATATTATTTTCAATCGTTTGAATTAATGTTGTTCAAAAATTGTTTTTGTGCTAAATTTGTCACGTGGATCTATTGGGTGCCATTAAATCTTTGTGAGGAGACTAGGAGACTACCAATTTTACGACCCAGAAGTCGTTGAAATATAGAATTCTGTTTAGAGACCTGCTCTGAGAAGGATAAACCATGGGAATAATTGTGTCCCAATGTCACCTTTATATGATAAAACCTTACCATTTATGGTTAAGTGTAGGTCGAGAAAAGAATTACCAAGGCAAATGCATTCACATCTAACAAAGCTAAGTTTCAATCTTAGGCGCTGACTTATTTGCTATAACTATTTATCCACATGCAGTATTCGTATCACTATCGTATTTTTGTTCTTTAGTTTTAACGTTTGAACCATTAAGCCACTACTTCAAAATGAATATAAACAACAAGGTTTATCAAGAACCTGATCAAATAAATAAAAAACTGACAGTAATAATTATTTTATATTATCAACTATCATTGTTTCATTTTGAGATCAAATTCTCTACAACCTATATATTTCCATTTTTACTTTATTCCCATTTCCAGATTAAAGAAGTAGTTTATTTCAACGCTATTTTAGCACCTAAAGATTCTCGTGCCAAATGGCGTGCTACATGTGTTTGGAAAGAAACTGATCAAATAATTAATCAGTTAGCTAAAGTCAATCATTCCGATAATAATAATACTACTCTTAATAATAATAACAGTAATATACATCCTCATACTCCGTCCCATGAACATCATCAACAACTTAATGATGATCCTGATTCCGGTTTAGATAATTCTGATGAAATAATAGATCCAAAGAAAAATAAATTGAATGATGATCCAATCAATAAAAGAGATCAGTCAATCAAATCTTTATTTGATGAAGATAATATGTCAGAAGAGTATGAATTTATTATTAAACAGTTTGCTAATGTACGTATGGCTGATGTCTGGGAGATTGAACAGTTTACAAGTCAGTTAAAGTATACAAGTTCAGATATGCTCAATAGTAATACTAATAGTACTGTTGTGAATAATAGCAACAATAATAATCAGTATAATCATACCAAAGATCATCATCATCTATCATTATTACCACAATATAATCCGGTTGATCATGAACGTAGTTTATCAGTCAGTAATGAATCACTGTCTGATTTAAATACTTTATCTGAAATACCTAGTATTATGTCTGGTATACAACTGGAACCACCATCAACAATACCACCTTTAAATTACGCTGAACATAAAGTCGATCATGCTGCTAATCCAAAACAATTATATAAACTGCTTACTCATAAACCAGGTTGTCCATGTCAATGTCTATTATCATCCACATTAATTCAAGAGAAAAAATCTATGAATAGTGTAACTACACAAACATTGTTTACAGGTGAAGTGAAAGGAAAATTTTTTTATCATGAAACACAAGATGGTCATAATAATCATTCTTGAATTCTATTGTTATCATCGTCGTAGCAGTGTGTTTCCTTTAAAATCGTTTTTTGATCATAATTTCTTTCTATTAACCCTACTTCTGTTTTTTCGAATCCATTTTCATTAATCATGTAGAAACGCACAGTTTATTTCATATTCTAAATTAGTCATTAGTTTGTAATGAATTTATGTATTTCATATTTACCCTAATAAGACCTTTCCCAAGTCTTATCTATCATATTTACATTATTGTTTGCTGGATCTTGAATTACACTTTTCCTTTATATTTTCACTGACAATAAAAATACCATTGTATGTTTATCTACATGCCTTATGAATAGTCTGATTACTGTCAGTAAAATAGAAAACAATAGGTGAAGTACGCAGTCATCATTATCATTCATAGTTACTTTTATCTACCTGAATCAAAATATTCAAAAGAAAAAGATAATAATAACTACTAATCAACTTCATTTGTCAATTTTGCACAGCAACAAGAAAAGAAATAGAAAAATGGAATGATTTTTCTTTGATGATTTTCTCCGCCTGTAGTTATTGATTTTCCTGATTTTGCTCATATTTCTCTGAAAATTTTTTTTCTTTTTTTTAGTAATAACTTTTCTTACTTTTCTTTTTTTACTTTTTTTTCTTTGTTTGTTTGTTTAAATACCTAAAAAAATATAGAAGCATTTCAATGAAGAAACATACTAGAAGTGTAGTTATTCTCTCTTTGAAACTTTCGAACTTTCATTAATATACATGTATATTTATTGTTTTAATTAAATTAATTTATAAACAAATATGATTGATTATATTTTGTTTATTTATTTATTTCAATGGAATTTTTTAATCTTTTTAATGTTTGATTAAATGAATAAACTCTGGGATATCCAAATTTTTCATGATATATCTATATACTACTTATATTGATGAATGACTTTAAAATGTTAATATAGTGAATAGGTTACTTGATTAGTTATTTTTTAAAAAAAACTCATGTATTCGTATAGATTTAATGTTCTATTTACATAGAATATTGTTTCGTATGATTTTTCTTTCAACAAACTTCATATTTCACATTAATGTATCGTAATGAAAAGTTTTCTTTTCGATGTCGTTGTTGTTGTTGCCGTCGTCACGTTTTTTTTTTTTTCAAATTTCTAATGGCTGTGAATATATTTTACTAATCTACATACAGAAATACTTGTACTTTACATGACATTTTTCTTTCATAGATTACAATCTTTTTCAATGAGAGATGTATTAAGTAAAATCAATGATCACAGTTATACTGTTACTCTTAAAACTGCCATTTCATTCAAACTGAACAAATAATATTGAAATATAAGTTCCATCTAGATAATGATAATAATCATATCATTGAAAGGGTAGTTATGTTAAATGATTTATTAAAATATAGTTTATTTTGTATAAAAGTATGTTCTACTTAATTGTGGTTTATCTGTTTGTCTGTTCAGTAAATACAGTAACTAATATGATGATGAAAAACTGATTTTATGAAAGCTGAAGTTAATCAATAATATTCCCTCTCAAAATATTTCTGATTTATATCAATCAATTTCATTCATCTTTATTTCCAAAGTTCAAAGTATTTTTAGACATCTTTGAATGTCACGCTCTTTGGAAACTTTATGATTTCACGTTTTGTTAAAATTGTATGCATGATTAATGATTCTAAAATCTGGTTAAACACTGATCGGTAATTGGGAAGAATAAGGAAATTTACAAGTTTAGTGTTTTTGTCGACAGAACAGGTCAATTTTTGTCTTAACTTTGGATCATTCTTGCAATCTTTACGGTTCATATTGACACATATGATCCTGTGGGAAAGATTTATTTCTCCCATTGTTTATCTTTCTAAACAGCTCTTAACACTTCGTGAATTTCCTGAAAGTTTTTTGCTGACTTTCACATAAGCTCTTGGTAGAAATGTAAGTCATCAGATAGATGCCAAAATTATCCATCGTAATGTTTAATACTCCTTGTGAGCCCTAAGAGTCCTGGAACCAACGTCTGCATGAGTTTCGGATACAAGTTGTTGAGGAATCCCGTAATAGAATGAAACATCTACCCTGTACTTCCTAGTTCTTGCTAGTTTTCTAGCTACGGTGATTACTTTATATGAACTATAAAAATCTTAGTTTACTTGTTCTTTGAATAGATATTGCATTTACTTTCTACAAATCACTAACGCAGTCAATCATCTGGTTTGTGAATTTCTTCAAACAAGTGTTTGGCAATAATCACGAGTCCAGAATAAAATTGAAAAACAATTAAAGAATTCAATATGATTAGTTACCACCTATATATCATATGATTCTAGATAATGTCGAATATTTGAAATCCGTTTAAATTATTTGTATGAATAAATCTAGATTTATCGGTTATTGACTCTATTATACAAAAATTGTATCTACAATATATCTAAAGAAATTGTATTAACTTCAGATTCTTTACACTGACGATTAAAAATGACGACGTTGACTTAACCTCTAATATAAGTTATCTTGAAGTATTTATTACCCAGTAGTGCATTTAATAGTGAGTTTTGTCGACAAATGTATAGTGTAGTAAGATTGTACCACTAACTATTACTTCAGATGACTTATTCACATAAGATAATCTCAATATCTGACAATTTAAACAAATTAACCTTCAGATTTTAACCAGTATAGCTAAATACAATGAATTCGAAAGTCACAAAGCAGTGTCGTAATATGCAGTCTGATGTATTTGTCATATTTAAAATACAAATGTCATGATAACAAGGTAGTAAATAATCATACTTAAAGTATCAACGAAAGAGTAGAAATAAAATACTTAAAATTTGGACAGTAAATGGATGGATTTATCTGAACCGTTGTTGCCAACTTTAAGGGATACTTTGTAGACTCCTCTCTCAAGAACCTCATCCAGCAAATCTATTGAATGTATCGATAATGTGTACTGGATATCCAGCAATGTCACTGAGATGGTGAAAAAGATCTGTAGCTCAGGAAACTCAGTTTTTAAAAAATGTATCGTTATCTTTGCTTTCTTCCTGGTGCCGATCAAACTCTATTGACTAGTTGCAATATGACCACCAATATTAGTAACCCGATATTCAGTGTTTTACGCTTGGCAGTTACGTAGTCGGAGGCAGACTCCAAGAAACCCTGAACCTTGGTCATAATCTTCTTTATACTTGTTGATGAGATATATCTATAATCCTAAAGGAAATGATACCTCTTGAGAATTCCTCACTTTCAAGACCATGATAATGTCGTCACTCGATTCGTTGTCTTTTGGAATCCTGTTTTTTGTTAACAATCCAAAAATTAATGAAATCCTAAAACGTCTCTACCTTTTACCTTTTTATGGACAGCCTAATGTTTTATTTAAATTATATTGAGTACCAAGTAAAAATGCCTTACGTTATCTTTTATAAAACGTCATGTAAAAGAACTTAAAATAAAAGTGTTAAGTCGTTGGAATTAGTCGACAGGAGACCCTGATCGACCTAGGTTACGTGTGTGGCATACTTGCGATATTGAGGGAGCCGATACTCCCTGAGGAATTATAATTCGCATTAGCCAGTCTTAAATCCTTTGATATTACCAACGAACTGTTTGGTCCTTAATTGGTCTCATGTAGGACCGAGGCACTTGCCATTGCTTAATCACTAGTTAGTTACTCATTTCGCGTTTACCTGATTCATTAGTAATGACCAAATTTAAATCATCATCCTTTTCTTCAAGATTAATGGTCAGATTATCGACGAGTGCTAACCAGCAGAAAGCCTAGTTTTAGAGTATCATGCCAACTACTCATCATTTAGGCCGGTCATTGTAAAAGTGGTTTGATGGTTAATAAATCATAGCCAAGAATTATAATTTGTAAACTAAATTGTCAATCATTATTCTCTGGTTGCCTTTCTATCATTGTTATAATCACGTTTATTAAAAGATTTTTACACAGTTAAGTCTTCCGTCCACTTAACGGAACTATTTCTCCTGTCAGTCACTCTCTTAACTACACTTAAATTTGATTAGAGATTTGTAAAAGTTTAGGATTGTACATCAGTAAAATATTGAGATAGTGAAGAGGATTTGTAGCTCAAGTTAAATCATAAATAGATCATATTTCACAAGCTTTTATTCTTATTAGTAATTAGTATGTAATTAGTCTGAAGTGAAATCAATCAACGAACTCTAAAAAAAATTAATTGCCTGCTATCTCTTATAGCTATCATAACAACTAATATACCTTAGATTGACTTAAGATTAACACACATGGAAATCTGCATCATTGCTTTAAAGTTTCGGCTTCCCCAGAGTTCGTAATTCATCCATTTGTACTTATTAATATAGATATTATCACTAATCTGTGTGGCAAAATATACTTTATTGACGCCTTTCAGTGACGTCTGAAAAATATCCTGAAAAAATAAGGCCTAATTCTAGTTAATCAGAACATAGATGATATAAATGAATAGTTTATTACATCAAACCCAAAAAGTCAGGGCTGAGTTTAAGTTATGATTCAGTGATAGGGTTGAGAGTTGGTGTTCGGATCTACTAAGTAAACTTTCCTATCTGCTGTTACTATATATATATATATATAAGGTTGTCAGGGTCAGTGTTAACGTATAGTAATAGGAAGGTTTACTTAGTGGATTCAGTAATAAGAATGGCTAAACATTCATAGTTGTTATAATCTTATTTTTGAAATAAAATACAGGTGTAAGGACAATTAAAGTATTCAGGTTTCAAATGTCACACACATTTTAATTGCTTGTTTTCAATCATTTTTTCCATGAAAAGGTAACCATTTTCTCATTGTCACTCGAAAGCTTGCTCAAATTCATCCTTATTCTTTTGTTTTGCCATGTTTATCAATTTTAAGCAACTTAGTAACTAAATATTAATATTTTTCAATAGAATCTGATTGGTATTTTATTGAATTATGCCTTTAACATCTGTACAAAAACTGTAAACAGCTTTCTTTAAGACCTAACAATAATGTGCTATATCGTCTATTTCTTTTCCTTTGATTATGTAACATGGTCACTAGGCCGATATGGTACAATAGATTTTATTACATAGTAAATAACTGATATACCAAACAAGTGAATGACAATACCATTAGCGAGAGTTGAACACCGTAAGTACGAAGCTCTGAGGAATAAAAGATTCTTTTAAGGTTTCAGGTGCGACACACCATTGTAGTGAATAAGAGCACCGGTGAGGACAGCCGAATGTATTTTAACGCAACGTTACAGAATATCTTGTTAAAATCTGAGAACTATACAGTCAATAATTCATTTGCAAAATGTCAATCACTTGCCTCAGACTTGATTGTTCTCTCGTTTCCATACTAATCACTCTCTGTTCTCGTTCTCTTCTCCTAGATCTTCTTAACCTTCTGCCTCCAGGCATTTCACTTCCGATTGATGATGCATACTACTTATATCTGTCGACATTAGTAGCACACACCACACTATGAGCGTTAACTAAGAAGCAGGACAACAAAACACGGTATTTCATAACATTCGTATCCAACTATTTACTATATTTATATAACTTAACAAAAGACTTAAATCTGAGTGTTGACTAGTTGAAATGTTGGCATTATGTGTATTTCATTTTGTATTACGTGTTATTTTATTTAACTTCATTTTTCTTCTTATAAAGATGAACTTTAGGTTCATATGGATGTAAAATTTACTCATTTTCAAGGATTTACATTAGCCCGTTGTTGATATAAGGAACTATAATTGATCACTCTCTAATGATATATCTGTATCCTAAGTGGATTCCTTCGATAAAACTACATAAATACGCGTGCTTAGTAAAGTCGAGCAGGGGATAGCATTGAAATTTAAGATGTACATTTCGTCCTACCTGGGGTTCATCAACAGGATATACCTCCATCTCGCTGTTGCTGTTCACACTGAAACTCGAATTCCCCACCTTTCAATTCATGCACCCATGGATTAAGAGTTGAGCTACTGATTCCAGGTAACCTACGGAACGGGTAAGAATACTGTCTTAAAACCTCGGGTAGTCGTTGTTAATATTAAGGATTATGACCGATCAATCATTATTGGTATATATGACCGTTGAACTCGTTGTGGAATTTGTTGATTATTTTCGCTTACATGCTTAGTAGACAATGCATTTATATTTTAGGAGAAAGATACTCAGTCCGAGTTTTATCGTGAACATCAACAGTGAGTTGCATTTAAATCCCTCAGACGAGCCTCAAATAGGACCAAACACATGTCTTGGATTCCTAGGAAAATCACTATCCGACTTTAACAAAATCCGATCCAAACTTTTGTTATTGGCTGTTTTAAAATATTAGTTTAAATCGTTTATTTTACTAATTTATCTCTATATCAATGAGATAAAAGGAGAATGATAGTTAATTAAAA